TTAAATTTTTTTTTTTTTTTTTTTTTTTTTTTTTTTTTTTGCCTTCATATAATTACATATATATATTTATATATATAAAAGTGCTTTATGTATAAAAAGAGAGATAAAAATTTACATTCTTTTTTATGCATATTAGTATTTTTTAAAAATTAAAATTTTAAAATATATTATTTTTTCTAACAAAATACAAATACAACAAAAAAAAGATATTCATTCAAGTAGTTGAGTAATGTATTTTCAAATTTATTAAACATTAATTTTTTAAAAATTTATATGTTAATAAAACAAAAAATTGAATATTTACGAATTTGCAATTACTTTTACTAAAGTAATGTATTAAAATATTCAAAGTAATTTAACAAAAACTTTTTGAAAGTGTCTTTATTGCTTATAAAAAATTTGATTAATATTACTTTAATAATTGTGTTTTTTTTTTTTTTTTTTATTAATTTAAAATTTCTTCATAATGCAATGGGATCTTTTTTAAAATAAACTGTTATTTTCTGTATATTTTTTTTTTTTCTTATTTCTTATTCTTTAAAAAGCTTACAAAAACTTTCAAATTTATGAAAAACATTAATATTTTTACTTAATATCAATTTCAACTTAAAAACATTTAAAAAAAAATATTTAAACCATTTTATATATGAAAAAATTTTAGAAAATATTTAAAATAAAAAAATAATTTATGCTTAAAACCAAAAGTATAAAAACAATCTATAAGAGAGATATAAGCTAAAAATTAATGTAGAATAAATGATAAAATAAAAAAAAAAAAAAGTTATAGACAAAAAATATATTAAAACTACAAAATAGTATAAGGTAAAGCTGTTATTATTGATTAAAAGAAATATGTTTATCTAATATTTTTGTATATTAAAAGGAAATTAAAATAATATAAAATATATATTTTGTAGGTATATAAAATAAATAAAATGATATATTAATTCCAGTAGAATTAAAAAAATTTTATTTTTTTATTCTTTTTTTAGAGTAATGTTATTACTTTATTATTCATTATGTGCACTAATTGTAAGGGAAATGATATATATATATAAATATATAAATTTTTTAGAAAAAAATTATTAATATTAAATTTGTAATTTTGTCTTATTTTAATTTTTTTTTTTTTTTTTTTTTTTTGTAGTGTTAATAAATTTTGAACTTTATATATGATTCTTATTAGAAAAATTGAATTAAATATACTTATAGGATTCATTATATCTTCAATTACACATATTTCTAATATTAATATTACTTGAAATCATATATTGTTATTATTTTTTTTTTTTTTAAAAATATATTTTATTTTATTTAATACATTTTATTTTAAGAAATATTGTTTTTATTAATATATCTATTTTTACACATTTATATATTAGTACTTTTTATGGGTACTTTTTCTTTTTTTTATTTTTTCATATTTTTATTATTTTTTTATAAAGTTTACTTTTATTTATTTTAATAATTATTTAATTTTATTTTCTTTTTTTTATAATAAAAATTACTAAAAAATTTTAAAAGATACAATATTATTTTTTTTATAAAAAAAAGAATGTTTTAAGTTACGTAAAAACATCATACATATATTTTCATGCTTGAAGAAATATTGATACATTATTTTTTCTTTTTACTAAATAAAAATAAAATTTAAAATGGTTTTGTAAAAAAAAAAATAATTATCATATTTTTTATTATAAATATTTTTTTAAATTATTTTGGGTTCTATAAAAAATCTATTGTTTTTATTTATATCTTGAATTTGTTAATGACATTTTTTTTAAATTTATAAACTTAATAGCAAACATGTATAAAATAAAAAAAAAAATTGACGTCGTTCTTTAATTTATTTTTTTATTAATATAGGATTTCATTGCCATATTTATTTTTAGATTTTTTAAAGATATATATAAAACAAAAAGAAAAAAATAAACATAATATAAATTAAAACCTTTGATCTTTAAAGTATGAAACAAAATTATTAGAACTTAATGATTATTTTTGTATATATATATATATATATATATAATTTAATATATTTTACTTTTATGTTTATAGGAAAATATATCAAGTATAAAAATAAAGTACTTAGTAATCCCTTATATAAAAAAAAAAAGAAAAATAAGGTATCATTTATTTTAATGTTTTTTCGTTAATATTAAGTTGTAATAGTTCTAGTTTTAAAGATAAGAATATAAAGAAAAAAAAAAAAAAAAAAAATTAATTATATAAATATTTTTTTTTATTTATTTTTTAAAGATGTCAGAAGAATCTATAGCTTTAGTAGTTGATAATGGTAGTGGAATGGTAAAGTCTGGTTTAGCAGGTGATGATGCACCTAAATGTGTTTTCCCTTCAATTGTAGGTAGACCTAAAATGCCTAACATTATGATAGGAATGGAGCAAAAAGAATGTTATGTTGGCGATGAAGCACAAAATAAAAGGGGTATATTAACCCTAAAATATCCTATAGAACATGGTATTGTAACAAATTGGGATGACATGGAAAAAATATGGCATCATACTTTCTATAATGAATTAAGAGTATCCCCTGATGAACACCCAGTTTTATTAACTGAAGCTCCATTAAACCCTAAAACAAATAGAGAAAGAATGACTCAAATTATGTTTGAAACATTTGAAGTTCCAGCTATGTATGTTAGTATACAAGCTATTTTGTCATTATATGCTTCTGGAAGAACAACAGGTTAAAACTATTAGAAAAAAAATATATTATAAAAATAAACAAGTATTATTAATAAGTCTATTTAAAAGAATTATTTTTATTATTTTTTATTTTATTTTATTTTTTTTTTTTTATAGGTATTGTTCTCGATAGTGGAGATGGAGTAAGTCATACTGTTCCCATTTATGAAGGATATGTATTACCACATGCTATTAATAGAATAGATATGGCTGGAAGAGATTTGACTTATCATATGATGAAATTATTTACAGAAAGAGGACATACATTTACAACAACTGCAGAAAGAGAAATCGTACGAGATATAAAAGAAAAACTATGTTATATTGCTTTGGATTATGATGAAGAATTAAAGAAATCAGAAGAACATTCAGATGAGATAGAAGAAATTTATGAATTACCAGATGGAAATCTAATAACTGTAGGTAGTGAAAGATTCCGATGCCCAGAAGCATTATTTAATCCCTCATTAATTGGAAGAGAATGTCCAGGTATACATATCACAGCATATCAAAGCATAATGAAGTGTGATATTGATATAAGAAAAGATTTGTATAATAATATAGTATTAAGTGGTGGTACGACTATGTATAATAATATAGGAGAACGATTAACTAAAGAAATGACTAATTTGGCTCCTTCATCAATGAAAATTAAAGTTATTGCACCACCTGAAAGGAAATATTCAGTATGGATAGGAGGATCTATTTTATCTTCTCTTTCTACTTTTCAACAAATGTGGATAACAAAAGAGGAATATGAAGAATCAGGACCAAGTATTGTTCATAGAAAATGTTTTTAAAAAAAAAAAAAAAAAATATATAATAAATAAAATAAAATAAATAATAATTTCTATAATAGTTTTTAATATTTCATTTAAATGTCATAATTTTTTAAATTTTATAACATATACATATTTTTATATATATATATATAGTTAAATGTTTCTTATGGATTTGAAAATTTTAATTAATATTATTTTATTATTATTATTTTATTTTATTTTTTTTTATTACATAAGTATATTTCTTTATATATTTTAGTCTTTAATCTTTATCATTTGAATTTTTATATTTTATCTATATTTTGGCATTTATGAAGCACATTTGTTTAAATTCTATATTTTTGGTAATTTATTAAATGAATTTGTTTTATAACACAAAATGTTTAAAAAACAATTTGTTTTTTTTTTTTTTTTTTTTCTTTAAAATAATTTCATGTAATTATATATATTGCCTTTTATGGATGAAAATAAAAAAGTGTACATAAAATTACACATATTTAATGTACAGTGAGTTTACTCCTTTTTTTTTTTTTTTTATACTTATAATTTTTGCACATCATTTTATATATTCAATGTTTTTTAAAGTAAATTAATACTTGATAATCATTTATTTGTATATTCAAACATATAACAAACAATAATAATAAACTCACAAAGAATAATATAATAAATATATTATGAACAAATAATTAATTTCTATTTATAAAAAAGAAAAAGGAAAATTTTTTAATGGAGTAATATATGGTATTACAAATTGATAATTACAAAATAATTATTTTTCAAATTTATTTTAAAATTAGTTTGTCTTGATAAAATATAATTTTTTTTTTTTTTTTTTATTATATATAATACCAAACATTATTACATTCTACACTTTTCGAAAATAAAAAACAAAACAAAAGATTAAAAAAAATTGTAAACTTGAATTACTGTGCAGTTTAAAATGAATCAAAAAAAAAAAAAAAAAAAAAAAAAAAAAAAAAAAACATTTATTTTTTTATTTCTTGTATTTAAGTTACAAAGAATCTCATAATTATGGAAAATATTAATATTAGAATAAAAAGAAAAAATAAATTTAATATGTTTTATTTCATTTTCTTATTAATTTTCAAAAATATTTCTTTAAAAGGAATAAACTTTTTTTTTTGTTCTGTTATTCAAATACTTTTTTAATTCACAAAAATTTTTAAGTTTTAAAGACACATGATATAGTAAACTTACATTTTACCTCTCTTCATTTTATGAATATATTGTAAAATTTTTCATTCTTTTATTTCAGTATTTCTTTTTTTTTTATTTTGGCTATATAAATAAAAAGTATTAAGAACCATTAATGGAAATAAAATTGTGGCATCACCAAAAACCTTAACATGATTATTTTTGTTTCCTGATTTAATTTTTCCCCATGATAATGCTTCAGTTGTATTAGCTCCACTATCACTTCCATCATATTCATTAGCAGTGTTAACATAGACAGCATAATCTGCTCCATTTCTCATTAAATTTGCATTGCATACATGATGTTTTGGTAATCCTCCACCTAGTATTATAATTCCTGATTTTCTACAATTTAATGCAAGAGAATTTATTTTTTTAATATCTTTTATTATATCTAAAATTAAATTATTTTTTATTTTTTTTCCATAATTGTGAAAAAATAAATTATCTCCTAAGGATCCATCAGTTAAACCAGGGCAAAATACAGGTATGTTATTTTTATAACACCAATATATTAAAGAACTTTCATCATTAATTTCTTTACCTAGCCTATTTATAAATTCTGAAGGACTTAAATAAAAAAGATCTGACTCTTCATCAGAATCAGATTCATTTTGATCACAATTACTTTTTTTTTCATTTTCTTTTTTTTCTTCTCTTTTTTTTCTTTTTTCTAATTTTTTTAGAAATATTTCTTCATTTTTTTCATTTTGTTCATCTAACATTTTATTTAATAGTGGTTGAAGCCAATCTTCAAATTTGCAATAGTTTTCATTTGGTACAATTAAATTACCTATTCTATTCCATCCTTTTTTTCGTAATTTCTTTCCATTCAAACTAAAATCTCCTAAATATGTATTAGAGAAACATTTTATAATATCTTCTTCTATACCTCCAGCAGTGGTTACAATAACATCTACAAATCTATTTTTAGCTAAATATACAAATATTTCTCGTAAACCACTAGATATCATATTAGATGTAAAAGATAGCCATATCATACATTTTTTTTTATTTCCATTGTTATCATTTATTTCATTTTTTCCATTGTTATCAATGTATTTAAGATGTATCATTTTATTTATCTCATCTATACCTATACCTAAATTTGTTGCTTGAAATCCCATGTATTTATAATGGTTAATAAATTCATGTATATTTATTTCTTTGTCGAAATTTATTCCTTTTACAACATCTATGTTATCAGGTATTTTTGTAGATTTAACAAAAACTGATGACATAGCATCACTTATAGAATTTTTTTCATCAGTACTTTCATCGTTATCACTTTCACTTTTTATTTTATTTATTTCTTTAAACGTAGTTTTATACATATTTTAATACAATCTAAAATATATATTCAGTTATTTTTTTCTATAAAAAATTAATGTTATTTATTTTTCAACTTTTATATTTCTTTTAAGAAAAATTCTCTATTTTTTTTTTTTTTTTATTAATCTTACATAATTATATAACTAATTTTTTAGATCTTATATTTAGTAAATAAAAAAAAAAATATAAAAAAAAAAAAAAAAAAAGCATATAAAAAAAAAACTATATATATATATTTATAATATATTCTAAAATAATGGTTTATAGACTTCTTTTATGAAGAATTACTAAAGCAACATTTAAAATGGATTAACCGTTTTATTTAGTTTCATTCCTTTATTTTCAAATTTTATTTTTTTTATTTTTTCATGATATAATTTTTTTTTTTTTTCTTAATCTTTAAAATAATTTTAAATTATTATTTTATATGTTAAATTTTTTTGAATACCATTGCCATTAATGTATTTTTTTAGTTTATTGTCACAAAAAATACTTTTCAATAAAAAAAGTTTATAAGATTTTTCAGCCCAATAACTATATTTACTTTTGAGAATCCATAATTTTTCACTTTTATTTATTTTTTGCACTATTTTGATATATTCTGAATTTTTTTTGGTTTTTTTTTTTTTTTTTTTTCCTTTTTTTTTTTTTTTTTTTTTAATAATTTTTTTTAAAAGTTCATTTTTAGAAGAATTTTACTTATCCAGATTTTTTTTTTTTTTTTTTTTTCTTAATACTAATAGGTAAACATATATATGTTTTATAATATATATATATAAAGCTTATAATATGTTTAAATATATAAGTCTATATGTTATCAGTACTTATGTACCTATTATTTAAAATTACGACTTCTTATTCCATGTTAATACAATTTTATGTATATCCTTTGGGAAATTATAAATATGTTTTATAAATGTTTATAAACATACGAAACAAAATAAGAATAAAATTTAATAAATAATCTTGAATTATAAAGATATTACATGTATTGTTATAATGTATATTAAATTTTATCTTTACGATGATGAAGAAGAAAAAGGAAATATAGCTAGTAACTTTAATATATATTGTTCTAATGATTTATTAAAAGAATTAAAATTAAATATAGATGATAATGCAGTAATACGTCATAAATTAAAAGATAATGAAGATAAATCATTTTGTGTTTGTTGTTGTTTCAAGAATTACAATGAATTAAATTTAAAAAAAAAATTAGACTGTTATAGTGTTTATACTAATTCCTTTGTTTTAAAAAGTTTAAATGTTAATTTAAAAAATGAAAATAATAATGGAAAACCATATAATATAAAAGTAGAAATAATAAAAGCGGAAGTTTATGTTCCAATTAAAGAAATAAAATTAATTATAAAAGAAATATTTAATGAACCATATGAAAATTTAAAAGAATATTATATTGATTACACTAATGATATATTACAATCCTTTTGGAAAAATATAAAAAGTAAAAATATAGATAAATATATTAATCTTTCTTTATTAAATACCTGCTTATTTCAATGTAATGTTATTAAACTTTGTGTAATAGGTGTTCATACCTATTTATATGTTAAAGATGTAATATTTCAATTTAAAAATAAAAAAAGTAGCCAGAAGAATTCTCATTTGGATAACAATTTTTATGTACCTTATATAAATCAAAATACTAAAATTGTAATTGAAAAGATAGATGATAATGAAAATGAAGAAAGTGTTAGTGAACAAAAATATGATGAGAATGTAAAAGAAAATGAGAATCAAAAGGAAAATAAAAAGGAAAACATGAAAAATGGAAGAAAGGAAAAGATTAATATATCAGAATGTGAAAATAGAAAAAAAAATCAAATGAACAATTATTTAAAAAAAAAAGGTGTGAAAAGAAGGGGGTTAAAAAAAATAGGAGGATATAATAAAATTAAAGAAGATATTTATTATTATATATTACTTCCTTTAATATATAAAAATATTTATGATGAATTTAATATTGATATTAATAGAGGAATATTATTACATGGTCCACCAGGTTGTGGGAAGACATATATTGCTTTAGCAATAAAAGAAGAATTATTATTATTAAAAAAAAAAATAAATGATGTAAAATTAAAAAATAAAATAGATTTTTTTACAAATATAAAAAGTAAGTTGGATGATGAAAACGAAAAAAAAGCATTAAGTAAAGAAAAAAAGAGTTATGAAATAGATTATAATGATGACATAATTTTACCAGAAATGGAAATCTTAAAAAGTACTGATTTAATTGATAACAATAACAGTGGAGAAAAAATAAATGAGCTATTTTTAAGATGTTATAAAAGGTACAAAGAAGAAAAAAAGTGCTCTATTATATTTATTGATGAAATAGAAATATTATGTGAAAAAAGAGAAAATTGCAATATAAATTTGTATACATCTACTTTACTAAACAATATGGATGGTATTAAAAAACACACACACACTATTTTAATAGGAGCAACAAATTATATTAATCTAATTGATTTAGCTCTGAGAAGAAGTGGACGATTTGATAAAGATATTGAAATAAATATTCCTAATTTAAAAGATAGAATTTCTATATTTAAAAGTAAGTTAAGCAAAATTAATCATAATATAAGTTTTAAAAAAATAAAGGAAATAGCGGATTTATGTCAATCCTTTACGTGTGCAGATATTAATGCATTAATTAATGTATCAATGTTTATATATTTAAAGGAGAATAATATAATATCTCATAAAATTTTTAAAAAGTCTATAAAAAATTCTCAAATAGACGAAGGAAAAGGAAAGAAAATGCATACCACAAATAATAATGAAAAAGAACAAGTAAATCATTCAATAATAGATGAACATATAAAAAAAAATGATGATGAAAATAAATTTTCTAAATTATACATTAAACAAAAAAAAAAAACTAATTGTGAAGAATTGAGTATAGGAAATTCTGATAGTTTTACAATATTATCTAATGAAAATAAATATACATTAAGATATAAACATTTAATAAAAGGGTTAAAATATGTGAAACCTTCAGGAATGAAAGAATTATATGTGGATATTCCTAAAACTAGAATTAAAGATATAGGTGGTTATAAATTTGTTAAAAGATGTATTAAAGAGTGTTTAATATATCCAAAAAAATATGAACCAATTTATGAAAAATATAATATACTTAGTCCCAAAGGTATATTATTATATGGACCTCCGGGATGTTCTAAAACTTTATTTGCTAAAGCAATTGCTAGTGAAATTAATATGAATTTTATAAGTGTAAAAGGACCTGAAATATTTTCTAAGTATGTAGGAGAATCAGAAAAGACCATTAGAAATATTTTTAAGAAAGCTCGTGAAAATAATCCTTGCGTAATTTTTTTTGATGAAATTGATTCTATTGCTATGAATAGAAATATAAATCAAAATTTTGTTTCTAACAGAGTTTTATGTCAATTATTAAATGAAATTGATGGAATTTGTAATAGAATTGATGTTATTATTTTAGCTGCCACTAATAGACCTGATCTTATTGATCCTGCATTATTAAGACCTGGAAGATTTGATAGAATTATTTATGTCCCATTACCAAATTATTCATCAAGATTTTCTATCTTAAAAAAGACCTTAAAATTTTATAAAATTAATAATATGATCAATCAGAAAAAAGAGGTTTGCGATAATGATAATTTTTGTAAAAATATTAACATTAATGAAAATTCTAACATTGATCTCAATATTGAAAGCAAAATAGAAAAAATTAGTGAATATGATAATGTTGGTAAAAAAAAAATGAAAACTGATATTATTGACAATAGTGTAAATTATATATCTGAAAAAACCAAAATAGAAAAAAGAGAAAATGAAAATAATGAAATTAATAATGAAAAACACTATTTTGATATTGATGTAGACATTTACAATAATATTGATTTAAAAGATGATGAAAAACTCGATGTTGATTATAGAAAAAATATGGATGCTATGGAAAATTATAACAGTAATAATTCTCACAATTTAAATAAAAACAATGTGAAAAAAATAATAAAGAAAAGAAAAGAAAAAAAAAATAATAATAATAATAATAATTATGACAATAATTTTATAGAGTTATGTCATTTTTTAGCTAAAAACACAAAAAAATATAGTGGAGCTGAAATAGTAAATATTTGCAGAGAAGCATCAATATGCGCTTTAAGAGAAACTTTGAAAAAATACAAAAATGAAAACCATGAAAAAAAAGGATCTTTTAATAACATTGATTTTATCGGTTTAAGAAAGGAGCATTTTATAATGGTTTTAAAAAAAATTAAACCTCAAACAAGTGAAAAACTTATTAATTTCTATAAAAATTATAATGAACAAAAAAAATATTAAAATTCATAAAAAAAATTTTTTTTTTTTTTCTTATTAAAATTATTACATATATAATAATTTTTTTAAAAAATCACATGTAAAAAAGTATTTTTTTTTTTTTGTTTCAATAATTTATGATATTCAAAAAATTAAATTGGGTTCATTTTGACTGCTTCTTTAAAAATTTCAAGAAAAATACAAATATAATAATTGCTTTTATAATATTAAATTAAAATATTCATTCAAATATATCCTAAAAAGATTATATATCTTATTTATTAGAATCAGTAAGTTTCATCTTTGTAATTTTAACTTTTAAAAATAGTTTTCTTTTGTAAATTTTTATGTCGTATTTTTAACAATTGTTCTTATACATGTTTCTTGTCTTTTTTTTTTTTTTTTATATTTTACTTTCCTACATTTTTATATTTCTTCTATTATGTTTAAGACTTTTTACAATAAAACTATTCCAACATTCGAAGGGTCAAAAGATGCGCATTTCCAGTTGTACAAATAATATTTTAATGACCCATCTCCCTCTCCAAATTTTAAATCTTCAAAGATTGATTTATTATGCATAATTTCAAGAGCATTAAAAACATCAAAAGAATTTTTTTTTGCTAAATAAATTGCATCTTGCATTAGATTTTTTATAGAAGTAGTTGTTGCAATATTATAAAATGAATATGCTGCATTTAGTATATTATATTTTTCATTACCCAAAATTTGAGATGGTAAAGAATAAAATGAAATTAAATCTTTAATCTCTCCATTCTCCTCATTTACATAAGTATATATAACATTATCAATTGGTAAAAACCAATGAGCAATATCTTCTTTACTAAATACTGCATGTAATTTAAATTGTTCCAAGTAATTATTTAGTAAATTATGTAATCCATCAATATCCTTTTTTTTCATTTTTCTCAAATTCTTTAAATTTAAAGTATCATCTATTCTAAATAATTTGATTGCTCTACTCATAGTTAATCTAGAATTTAATGAAGAAAAACCAATTTCAATTAATTTTTTTACGTTTATAGATCTATGAAAATATCTTGCATCGCTTAATGGTTTAGGTAAATAAATGCCAGCTGTATATATTGCCTGCCATATATTTTCTAAATTTATTCTTCTAGTTATTTCCTTAATTAAAACAGGTGCTAATCTTTTTGAACGTAAGTTTTTATGAACACATAGAAAATTTACTTCAGCCATTTTTACTATTTTCTTATTTATACATATATCTATTGGAATTGCGCTTATAAAACCAATCAATTTATTTGCAGCATCATATTTTACTCCTATATGCCAATTCTTTAAGTAGTTTGGAGATGATAAAGCCCATAATAAAAACTCGGAAGAATAATTAAAGCGAAATATATTATCGTCATCCTCTACATAATTATCACTTAATAATTTAAAAATTTCACTTCTATCATTTTCATTTTTTATATCGCACACATACCATGAATAGCCATTAGGTAATTTGTATTCTTCCTAATAAAATAAGAAAAAAAAAATAAAAATGAAATATATATATATATATCTTTTAAAATAAAAAAAAAAAAATTATGCAAAATTTACTTTGAAGTTAAAATGGAAAAAAAATAAAATAAAATAAAATAAATATATAAAAAAACAATAAGATTAATAATATAAAATATTAAAAGTATTAAATATCTTACTTTTCGAACATCTTCTACCTTATTATTGGCTATAAATGGCTCATTTACCTAAAAAAAATTATGTATCATTTAAATATTTATATTAATATATGTTTATACTTTTATACATTTACACGTAATTATATTTAATATACTGTTTCATTAAACTCATCGTTTATTTTAGGAACAGGTTGGGTGTACCAAAACTTATAATCGTTTTTTATTTTATCTTTTGCTTTTTTTATTAATTCATATATATCATTTCCAGCCAATTCTTTCTGATTTTTCTAAAATAAAAAAGAAAAAAAAAAAGTAAGTCATGTTTTTTATAAACTATACATGTTTTTTTTAAATTTTTTCACTATTTGTAATTTTCATTTATAATTCTTCTTTTTTATTTAATATTTTTTTTTTGTACATTATCATCGTTCATTTTTATATATTTCCTAATTAATTTTATTTTATAAACTTTAAGTTTTTAGCAGTATTCTTGACATACAATGTTTAAAAAAAATAAGTATCCAAGTTAAATTAACCTATGGAATAACTAAAAATGCTAATTTTTAATTTTACAGAATAGAATTGTTTAAAAATAGAAAAAAAAAAAAAAAAAAATAATTATAATAAAATAAAATATATTGTAATTTGATGGTGTAAAAAAAAAAAAAAAAAAAAAATTATATTTTTTTATCTATTTATTTTTATAAATATATTTTATTTAAATACTTATATATTATTTCATAAATTGACTTTCTTTTTTCAATAAATAACCTTCCCATTTTTAATTTTTTTTTTTTTTTTTTTTTTTTTTTTTATGTATTTTATGTTGAAATATATTTTTTAATATATTTAAAAAGGAATATATTATAAGAATTTACATTTTTAATTTTGTATGTAATAAATATGTAAAAAAGAAGTCAAAATTAGTTCTATTAAAGAAAAGATATGTTATTTCTTTAAATGTTTAAGGTTTAAAGTTTATAAAATAACTTCTTTAACAAATCTTACTTGTTAAAAATTAATTTCCTGAATTTTCGGTAATTTTTTTTATTTAAAAATATAAAAATATTAAGATTATTTTTGTTAAAAGAGTAAAGTTTCAGGTTATTTAAAAATTGAAATAATTCAAAACTACATATAAAAGCATGTGTAAAATAAGAACATATTTAATTACAATTATTTTTTTTTTTTAAATTATACAACTTTGGATTTTATAATAAATACTACATTATTTTATATAACGTCTAACCAAAAATTAAAATTAAAGGAAAAAAAAAAAGATTATGAAAAAAATAATAATTTATCTCAACATTTATTTCAACATATTTTTATAAAAAACTAATACTAATATATATATAATAATTTTTTATATCAGTTAATTTATTTTCATTTATTATAAAATATTTATTTTTTCCTTTTCTTTTTTTTTTAAGTATTCCACCAATTACTGAAATACTTATTTTAGTATTTTTAATAAACCAGTTTTTCTTTATATTTATTATGTATTATTTTTATACTCTTAACTTTTTTTAAATATATTTTAAATAAATTAATTTTGTAATTTTGTAATTTTGTAATTTTATAATTTTGTAATTTTGTAATTTTATAATTTTGTAATTTTGTAATTTTTTTTTTTTTTTTTTCTTATTTCATTTTTTCTTTTTTTTTTTTTTTTTTTTTTTTTTTTTTTTATTTTTTTTTTTTTTTTTTTTTTTTTTTTTTTTTTTTTTTTTTTTTTTTTTTTATTTTATTATTGTCCAATTATTTTATAATAATTTTAATTTTTTATTTTTTTTGATCATGTATTTTTCTTTTAAAAAATTTAATAGTTTTTTTTAAACAAAAAAAAAAAAAAATTGATTCCATTTGATATTATTATGAATTACAATCGATTTTCATTTTATATTTTTGCTCTTTTTTTAATAATTATGATACATTTTTCCTTTTTAATAATATAACAAAAAAAAAAAAAAAAAATTGTGCATTTGTTTTTATTCAATTTGTTTAACATGAAGCTTTAAAATAAAAACAGATACAATAATTATTTAATTAAAGAAATAGAAAATAATTCTTATGTATAATTTTTTTTTAAAAAAAAAAACATTAAAAAATCTAGAATATTACAATTAAAATGACAACTTTAAAAGAATCCATATCAAATGTTCTTTCTGAATTGAATGTAAAAAAAAAAAAAAAATAAAAAAAATAGATAATAGAATAATAAAAAAAAATATTTGTGTTACATTAATTTTCAATTAAACGTTTATACATATATTTATATTAATGTAAAATATCAATAAATATTCAAAGAATTTAAAGATAAAATCTTTATTTTACCATATCTTTAAAAACATAATTTGTAAAAAACATATATATATATATATTTTTTATGAAATATTTTCTCAATTATATTTTTTTATAAAAAAGTTGTTAGTTCATTATTAATAGTATTTTTATATGTAATAAAAATTCATTAATCAAAGTTTCCTATTTTATTTTTAGTGTGATCAAAAGAAGGAAATTCTTAATGTTTTAGTTCATATTCTTAGAAAGTAAAAATTAGAAAATAAAAATATAACAAATATTTATATTAACAATATAAAAGAAGGATTATTATTATATTTTATTTTATATATATTTTCCTAAATAATTTTTACACATATATATATATATATATATATATATATATATATATATATATATATATATATATATATATTCTTTTTATTTAGAATAATTGAAAATCCTTCTAGAGCAAAATTTAGATCATTAAAAAAAGATAATAAAACTTTTATAAATAAAGTAGAAATAAAATTTATTTAAAATATCTTTTTCATTGTTTTAAAATATATATTTTTTTCTTTTTTTTTTTTTTTTCACTAAATCTTTTTTATCATATATCTATATTTTTTTTTTTATATTATTAATAGTTATTACATTTTAAAGGATCAGATAATATTTTAAGATCTCTTGGTTTTGAAGAAGTAAAAAAAAAAAAAAAAAACTATTTTCTTTTTTTTGAATACCAAAATTAAAATTTTTAAAAATAACATTACATGATTATTTTTACTCTTTATATATTTGCTTAAAGGATGAAGAGAAATGGTTTTTTCCTTTATCAAAGGATGATACATTATCAAGGTATACAAATAAAATATAATAATGGTAAACTATTTTTCTATAATTTATATAAATAGAGAAATTTTTTTTATTCAATTGAATTTTATACATATATATATTTCATTATTTAATATATGTTTACCATTTTTTTTTTTTTTTTTTTTATAGAAATTTAAAAGAAATTCAAAACTATATTAACGATAACTTATGTTTACTTTATAATAATAGTGAGTCACTTTTTGAAAAGAAAATATTAGATACTTGCAATGATTACAGAAATAATTTGAATGAAAATACTTACTCACAATTTAATGATAATGATAAAATATTAAAAAATAATCTAGATGGATTGAAATTGGAAGGTTTATCAAAAAGAAGGTTAGAAAAAGAAAAAATGGAATTATTAAATGAAAAAGAAAATACAATTCAATTAATAAGAGAATATTCAGATAAATGGATAATTCAAATAAAGGGTGCTGAAAATACCTTGTATTCCAATGAAACATTTAAAATACAATTTAAATTTACTGACAAATATCCTATAGGTATTTTATTAAAATAAGAAAAAAAAAAAATATAATTACTTTTCAATTTTTTATTTCAATAAATTTCAAGAAAAATTTATTTAATTTTTAATGTGCTTATGTGTAATATTATTAATAAAACTTTATATGCATATATTTATATGTGCATATTTTATTATATTTTATTAAAAATATGATACATTATTTATATTTTAGAAAGTCCAGAAGTTATATTTATTGGTGAACCTCCTATTCATCCTCATATTTACAGTAATGGTCATATTTGTTTATCTATTTTATATGATCATTGGTCACCTGTTTTATCAGTAAATGCTATATGTTTATCAATTATTTCTATGTTATCTAGTTGCAAAAAAAAAAGAAAACCAATTGATGATATTTTATATTGTTCTGCTGGTGGTAAAGTTTCTCCAAAAAATATGAAATGGATGTTTCATGATGATAAAATATAATGCTTTTTTTTTTCTTTTTTTTTTTTTTTTTTTAATATACTTTAAAAAATAAAAATTTCCTTTTTATTTGATCTATTTTTTTAGTACAGAAGTTTATATTCATTATTATTATTCTTATTTTGAGAAATATAAAAAAAAAAATAAAATTTGATTTACTAAGTTATATATATATCTGTTATATTGCACATATATTTTTTTTTCAATTTTATTTAGAAAATTTTTATTTTTTATTATCATCTTTTTTCTTTTTATTAAGAATATTTATTAAAATGTAATGCTTTTTTTTTTCATTTTTATTAAAAACCTTTTTATTAATCATAAAAAAATTTAACATATTTGCTTTAATGTCACGAAAATGTTTTTCATTATTTATTATTAACACATTATTATCATTTGATATGCATTATGGATTAATTTAATTTTATTTTATTTTATTTTTTTTTTTTTTTATGATTAACTTAATTTTTTGTGAAATTAAAACTATAATGCTAGAACTAAAGTTATTCAAAATACACTTTAAAATGATAATGTTTATTTTTTATATTTTTAATATTAGTTTTCTCATAATATTTATACATTTTATATAAGACATTTATATTAACATTACTAAAACTAATAGTACTATGAAATTTTTTTTATATATCATAATTATTTAAATATTATTACTATTTTTGAAGGTTGTAGATATTCACAACTTTCTAGAAAACATAGACTAAGTCAAATTTTGATTAAAGTTTATTTATTTTTTAATAATAAATTTTTATATAAATATGCGTATTTAAGAAATATAATAAAAAATATTGAATGATAATAATTTTATATATCTTTACAATTAGCTAAAACAATAAACTTAGGTAGATATTTTATTATATTTAAAAAAAAAAATAAAATAAAGCATTATATATATATGACTTCTAAGCACAATGCATTTTATTAATCATTATTTATTAAAAAGACAAAAATAAACGTTTTTTTTTTTTTTTTTTTTTTTTTTTTTTTTTTTT